GGAAGGTCGTGGTGAGGAACGCATCCCCGACTTTATGGATATATTCGTATTTAAATGTGGCGGAGATCTACTCTCTCTCTGGAAATGTAGTCGCGAGCCTAATCCACTATCTTAAGGACACCTACGAAGACGCATGTTTGCAATAAATCAGAAATTAACAATTTTTTTTGGTTGAAATGTAAGTAATACAATGTATATATTTATATATTTGCAAGAAGTTCTATTAAGCTTTCATAAAAATTACTGTTAAATGGATTTTTATTGTCCATTTATTAAAAAAAATCATTCGCTCACTAAAGAAATTCGACTTATTTTAGAAATTTCTTTTACGGAAAAGCAAAATAAAATTTAGAAAAATTAGGTTACTTATAAAAACGTAACTGTGAATGGTGAGCGCTACCGTGAGATGATATCAAACTTTACTTGCACGACATGTGGTTTCGAATAGACGATGCCACATGCCACATAGCACGCGTAACAATGGACTTATTGAGAGGCGAGTTCAATGAACATTTTATTTCATGTTCGGGTCCGGTCAATTGGCCGAGTAGATCGTACGATTTAACGCCTCTAGATTATTTTTTGTGGGGCTATGTTATATCTAACAGGCAAGCCCGCTCCAATTGACGCATTGCAGGACAACATAGATACATTTATTCGTGAGATACCGCTGAAATCTTGGAAAGAGTATGCCAAAATCGGACTAAGCGGATGCACCATTTGATGTGCAGTCACCGTCAACATTATTATGGACTCAAATAAAGATTTCATGAATTTTTCTGATTTTTTTTTCAAACTATGTAATTCTACCCATCTATAGCTCTCGCAGAAACTAAGAGCTTTTTTTGCTAACTTCTAATTTTACACTCCGATTTCCACTTTTCGAATTCAAGGACTTTTTTTGTTTTTCAACGAAATTGTTCAATCCTATGTACTTACAGCCAGAATAATCAGATCACAGAACTATGATTACAAAAGTGATTAAGTGAAAAACAATGAGATCACCATTGGCTTGTGCTGTGGGTATCCCAAGTTCGGATTCAATTCGGCAAGGGTGTCTGGAAAAAGAAGTCCGATGGGGAAACGTGGTGGTTTGCGAAATAGCAGCTATAACTTCTGTCGCCCAAACTGTTGTTGTAATTTTTTCACTATTCCAAAAAATATATATATCGTAAAATAAAACTGTTTTAACTTTATTTTTCCCAAAAAAATATTCACAAAAAAGCATTAGAAAGAACGCAAGTTAGCAGACTACCTCAATGGTTTTCTAGTAATATGTGATTTTTAATAGTCTGCTATTCCGGTAGATCTCACTTTTGAAACCGTAATTTTTTGATATTTGACAAGTGAAAACTACGCCAGTAATAAGAATGGAACGATACACGTTTCAGCAATTCATTGAAATTATTAAAATTCAGTATAAAATGTTGATAACTTTGCCGAGACAGTTCGTATAACTAAAACATTCTTAGACGTCTCGGTCCGCAATACAAAAATTGTTGGAAAAAATGAAGCTGTTGGGACAAGTTAGTGATGTGGGCTGTAGCTCAAGGTGTTGGAGAAAAAACCGCTCGCTCCATTCCACGTAATTCTTTGGAATTAGGCATTCCATAAACGTCATTACACCGTATTTTGCATAAATACCCTGGTAGTGAGCATTATTTAGTTTAGTTAACCGAAGAACCCAAGTCGGTCAATCATCGACAACGTCGTTTCTTCTCCTGGGTCCTTGAAATGCATAAAAACGATCCTGAATTTCGACGAAAAACCATTTCTACCTCGATGGATACATCAATAAGCAAAACTTTCGGACCTGGGGCTCAGAAAATCCAAGATTTTTTGTTGAAGAGTCTCTTCATCCTCAATGTGTAACTATTTGGTCTGGCAAAAATGAGACTGGAGCAAAAGTTACGGTGAATGTATTTCCCTACTGAGAGATGATTAATGAAATTTTATGGTCCTAAATAGATCTTTTGATCTGGACTTTCGACAAGACGGTACTACAAGAAACGCAACTATTGACCTTTTAAGGGAAAAGTTTTCCGGACTGTATGTCTGTTACTGTCACGAAGAGGTGATCGTAATTAACCACCGAGATCCTGTGATTTACCACTTTGCGCCTTTTTTCTTTGGGGTCGCGTAAAAGAAAAGGTCTACGCCAACAGACCAACGCCGGTTCAAGAAATCAGAGATAAAATTCGTGAAGCAATTGAGGGTATACAGCAGCCACTTTGCGATTTGGTGATGGAAATTTTCATAAAGAGGAAACAGTCCTATAAGAGTAATCGTTTCGTACCCCCTGCGGGTTAGAGGCTCAAGAATTTACCCGCGGTAAGGCATGCCTGTCGTAAGAGGCGACTAAAATCCAATAGCTCCCGCGACAGTCGGGTCTTTATACCGGAACGACTCGAACGGCCAAGGACTGTCACTCCCGCAACGTTCCCCAAAAAGTACTTTGGGGAATAATTTTGTGGTTACAACAACAACAACAACAACAACAGTAATCGTTTCGTCCATTTGGCTGCTGTTGATTTCCATTATTTATGGCACATTTTCTTCTTTACATTGATATAAGCAATCGGTCATTTATCTCAAAAAATGACATTTTTCTTTGGATATCAAGAAATGAAACCCTTAGGAAAACCCTTAGGAAATGGGCTATAAGAGAAACAAATTAAAGGCGCTTTACTGTGTACTTAATTTCCTTATTTCAAAATGAAAAGAAAGAAGTGTTGTATTTTTGGTATTTTTTATTATTTTTATTTATTTATTTATTTATTTTTTTTTTTTGCTGAACTGTTATGTATTCATCGCTTGTTAGCACTTACTAATAAAAAATAAATCCGAGAAATATATATAGATTCAATAGGATACTGAAAACTGATTCACATAAAATTTTTAGCAATCTTCCCCTCAGAGTAGCCGTATGAGGCTTTTTAATTTCAAGGAAGAGTATAATTTTCTCTTATAACCGGAGAATATTATCATATAATGTTATGAAACAACAAGAATATAAAATTTACCGTATTAATTTGAAAAGTTAAAGCTCTTATTGTGCTCCTCTCTGTTCGTAATGTGGCATCTAACAGTCTAAGCGAAGTGAGTTTTATGTGAATCAACCTCAGACTTATTTAGAGCTTCATTATTCACTTAATCCTAAATATCACGAAAGGTTAATGACTGTTGAATTTTAAAGGTTTTAGTCCATTATGTTAGTTAAGGATGTTGGAAAAAAGTTTTTGTCAATCTAAAACTAAAAATCGCTGCCAATGACTTAGTCAAAATATGTAACCTTTGACACAAATTTCGGGGTTTAATGTCGGCTTTCGATATTTATTATTAATGCTTCTATTTTGGCAACTAGCAAATCATTAAGAATATATTTGTAATGCTTGCTTTAATATTTATGTGTATGTAACTCCAATATACTAGATAAATATTTGAATTACTGTTGATGTTTAATTCATAAATTTTTAACATTAAAAATTAGAACAAGTCGCTACACCTAAAATATTATACATACATAAAAGCACATACGAGGGGCTTAATACAAGTTCGGTCAGTTGGTGATTTTCAATTAGCTTTTGTTATACTTAAAAATACCAAATCCTTTGCAATTACTTTATTAGTCTTTCTTTAAAATTTTAGAACAATCGGCTCAAATGGAGACGAGAAAACGCAAGAGGATAAATCAGACGAAATTCCACCACCCACGCAAAGAGAAATTCACCATATGATTCTCTTTGCACGTCGAACGATTGCATCGCCTTTAAGGGACTATTCTAACTGGTTCCGAAGATTCCAGATCAGACATTTATCCGTTGAGGACGAGCCAGGAAAAAGTCGACCAAATCTACCACTGATGACGTCAATGTAGCTCTAGTGAAGTCCAAAATTGACGAAGGCCCACGATTGATACAAGAAATGTTTGCTATTGAATTGGGCCTGAATGCCACGGCTGTATCACGAATATTAAATAATCATCTGTGATATACGAAGAAATCTGCTCGATGGGCACTAAGAATTTCAAATGAGGCCCAAAAAGATGCCTGAGTGGATTTAGCTAAACTTTTCCTAAACAAATTCAAAAATAGTCAGTCTAGCAATTTTAGTAAAGTCGCTACTGGCGACGTATCTAGGTTTCTACAAGTACGAACCAGAAACCGAACAGCAGTCACAGGAGCAATAAAAATCAGCAAAAAATCAGCAGCAAAAGTTATAATGTCAGTTTACTTCAACCGATATAAAATCGTAGCTACAGTTCCACTGGAAAGGGTCAGACGATAACTGCAAAATGGTACACTGAAAAGTACTTACCAAAAGATTTCGAAAAGTTGTTGGAAAATAGTAAGAAATATGAATTGCAGCGCAGCCTTTTACATCATGACAACGCGCCACGCAGTGTGCGACTGGTGAAATAACGAGTAATTTTGTTGCGTTCTCAGAGAACAAAGAAATATGTTCAGCACCATATTCATCGGATATAGCGCCTTGTGATTTCTGGTTAAATTTAATTTAAAAAATATTTAAAAAGAAATACCAACGAGGGGATAATTAATGCGGTTAATACGGTTAGGCTTAAGGAATGCATTGAAATCAACGGCGATTATGTAGAGAAGATGAGAAAGGACAAAATTACGAATAAATATAAAAAGAAGTATGAGAAATTTTTTTCTGATGAGCTCACCGAACTTTTGATAATCCCCTCGTACATGCATATACATATGTACATTTTAATTACCAAGTTATTGTTTTGGAAAGCCGAAACCTTCAATTTAATTACACTCAGCTGCAATTCATTAAAAATTTATTAAATCTTTACAAATTGATATGCCTCCCCAGCTCATATTCATTCGTATTCATATAATAATAAGTTCTTGTACATGTATGTATGTAATTTGAGTGAATATTTCACAAGAAATTTGATAACATCTCTACTTCTGGAATGCATAAAATATTTAGCACCTTCATCCTCCTCAAGTCTCTCTCAAACATTTTACCTGTTCTCTCAGTGCAACAGCGGCATTCCACGGTGAGTAACTTGCACATCGGCTAAAAAAAAAACGACCAGCACAATGAATAGCGGAAAAAAACTTCCGTTGCGTTATGAAAAAATATATGTATTTTGTGCGATGAGCCAACTGACTGACTGACTGACGACGAACGGTACAAACAGCTGAGTACCCAATGTTGCCCGCCCGTTGGTGTCGACAATGTGAGTTCAGCTTGGATTTCCACTTCGGCTTTGATTTGTTTAATTTCCGTTGATGCTGCAACGCATTTCCGGCAGTGAATGGGCCACGACGGCTACGAGTTATAGGTACGACAAAACAACAACAACAACAACAGCAAAAAAATTCGATTACACGATGACACAATAACGACGACGATTACGTGCAAGTACAAACATACACATACGAGTATATTGATGTAGATGTAACGACGACAGCTAAAATGCGAATTTATTATACATATGTATATGTATGCATGTACGTGTATGTACGCAGATGATGACGACAGTAAAAGCGATTACGTTTTGTGACTATTGCGTTAGATACATATACATATACATATGCATATACGTACATATACTCGTTCACTAACTACGACGATATGTGAATGCGAAAGAGGTCGTTGGTTATACCCGGTGGACCAGTTGATGTTTGAGCCGAAGGAATAGGTGATTTTCGATTATAGCACGACGTTCTGCTGACAAGCTTTTATACATCTTTAAGATTGTTCCATATTAGTCCTCAATTTGCACTCGGCATGTGTCTAACCTCCGTTAGGTGTAGTAATGCGAGCTGTCACCACTATGAAGCCGATCAGTGCCAAACAGCTTCACCTATACATCTAAGTATGTATGTACATACATATGTTCATATATAAGATTGAGGGAGGCTGCAGTGGGTGTGCGCTTACTATCCCTATGCGGTGTGCGTATAAAGTGCCTGATGAAGTTATTTGAAATGTTGTTGTTGCTGTAGTTTTAGTTTTTGACTTCTTTTTTCTGGGCAAATGCGTTGACTATGACGATGACCTCGACGTAGGCGATTGGCGATTGGCGATATTGCTGTTGCTATTGCTATTGCTGTTGTTGGTTGGTTGGTTGGTTGGTTGGTGACAGTGATGATGGTGAATAGTATTTTCAGTTGTAGAAAAATCTCGTTGTAATTCGGTGGTCAGTAATTGCATTGCTTTCATGCAGTACACACATTCACATATACACACTTTTCATAGTATGTATGTATTTCACTTTCACATACATTTATATTTTTTGCTTGACTTTTGGAGTGCAATTTTTTCCTCAGAGTTTCTTTTTGTTATATATTTATCTTTTTATTTTATTTAATTTTTTTTTTTTTTGCCACTTAACCACACTGAAAGATGCAAATCGCATATACTGTTATTTTAATCACTAAAAAATTAACTCCTCAGCATGCAGCTTTTAGGCAATAAATACTCACACACATATACTATACACTCACGCGTAGAATTCACATAAATTCCTCACAAAAACGCAATTTTTTGATAGAATTCTCACAATTTTATATATACCGTAGATATGAGACTAGAAAATCTTTTCTTTACACTTAACTAAATTGATTTTTTATTTTATTCTATTTTTTTTTAGTTTAGATGTGAGCGGGGAATGGCATGCGGAATTTTGCTTTTGCTATGTGTAAAGCGAAGGAATGCGTCCGAGTGACAGTGCGAAAATTTTTCTTATGCCTCGTACAACGGTTTTATGTGACCACGAGATGGCTTGCGAGAGCATTTCGCATTCAAATTTAGTCCTTTTCTCCGATTCGGTTCTGCGAAAGTGCCTGCATACAATTGCTTAATACACACATACTATGTGCATATACTAACACACACACACACACACACGCGCGCTAACAAATTCGGCGCGTTCAATAGCACGCGAAGTAAAACGATGCAGTGCAATGAGACGCGTTGGGATGCTTCAATTCCAATGGAAAAAGTTTGCTAACTGCTCAATACTAATTTCAGTTAATTTACTTAATATTGTTGATTTATTTAGATGAAAAAAAATGTTAATTATTAATTTGCAGCACTTCCTTTACAGTTATTTCAAGTCCTTTGCGTTAATGTGTGAACGGGACGACAACCTACTCGGTCTTGCAGGATTTAATTTCAGTATAATAAAATATCTCTTAGGCCATATGCATCGACCGAGAGAGCCATTGCAAAGCGCTTAGGGCAGTGGGAGGAGAGAGTTTCACATCCGAAACGGGAGTGCAGCGAAAAAATAGCACACACTCAAGATAATTGAAATGTGGAACAGGATACTTATCATCTCATGCGGTTATCATCAATACCAAATTTTTCATTTTTACGGTTATATTCGTGCATTTCAATCACCAAGAAAAACTTACTTAACCCAAATTTCCGATTTACTTGCTCATTCTTGCACACTTTTCGCTTTTCTTTATCGCTCTATTTTGCCTATCGTCTTAATTTTCGCTAAATAGAGTATACAAACTTTGCTTTAGGAAAAAGGGCAAAGTGAAAATTCAGCACCACTCATCAGTTAAGCTCTTTATTATTTCATAAAATGTCGTATTGGCCAATTTGATTGCCTTCCTTTCGATAGATTATGAAATGCACAATTATATTTTACACATAAAATTCTTTTCATTTGTGTATTGTGTAAGTAATTTTATCCACTTTGAAAATTTCCTGGTCGCAGTGGACGTGAACGCGCGGCACTGCACCAATGCTCCGCACACGCACTCGGCTCAACTCGAATTGAGACCGTAAAGTATGCAAGCATCGAGTGCCACTTTTGCATGTACAATTTTCTCTTTGGTGAAACTGCTGCAACCTGCAGTAGGTGGTGGGAAATTACATGCCGAAACAGCGCGAGAGCGACATAACACGCATACAAAGAAAAACGAAAACGAGAGTTGGGGGTGGTTGCTGGTGATAAAGTGTAAATGCGAGAGATAAGCTCTTGATTGAGTTTAGGGTGCAAATTGTATGGTATTCCCGTGCACAGAGTTGCATTTGGTGATAAAGATGAAAGTTAAAAGTTTATAACAGTTAGTCAAGGTTCTCACAAAAATGCTGAAGGACAAAATAAGTGTAGAGAAAATCTTATTAATATACAAATTTTCTTTTAGAAGTATTGCCTACATAGTACAACAAATAAATTGAGAAAATTTCTGTTTCTAAAACATATGTATATGCATACATATGAATGACAGAATTATCAATGCTATCCGGAAATAAATGTCGTCTTTTAACATATAAGCTTTGTTCGTTGAGTAGATGAGCAGTAACAATTTTTACCAAACTTCACTGGATCGTGTTCGTTGAGCCAAAAACCCAGTCAAAATTGTTAAAGAGAAGGCGCAATTTTGACCTATACAGACCTATCCCCAATGTTATCGGTAAAGTAAATTTTTTTTCCTTTTTTTTTAACACCCGAAATTGATTTTGGTATTCTGGCGAATTGGTTACAATGTTTGAAAAAACTTTGGCAGCACTGCTTTTTTCGTCCTTGTCAAATTACACTATTCAGTTGGAAAATAAAAAAAAGAAAATATTCACATCGAAATGGAAGACGGTGCACAAAAAAATAAACAAGTTTTTTTATTTGTTTATCAAATCATAAATATAAGGTTGTCAAATATCTCCCTTCCGCTTTTTTGCTCTTCATTCAATGCTTTATAAAAAGTGTTACAGTGATCGAATTTAGTTAAAATATGCGCCGTTTTGTTCGATGATCTGTTTCCATCTAGACGGCAATTTCATAATACCTTTCTCGTAGAAGCCCCCCTCCTTATTTGCGAAGAATTCGGGCAGCCACTTTTCACAAGCGTCTTTTGAGTTCAACTTCACACCACCAAGGGCATTCGACATGGACAGGAACAGGTGGTAATCACTTGGCGCTACGTCCGGTCTATATGGTGGATGCGATAAAACCTTCCATCCGAGCTCCCGTAGCTTCTGACGAGTCATCAACGAAGTGTGTGGTCTGGCGTTGTCCTGGTGGAACACTACACCCTTCCTGTTGGCCAATTCTGGACGCTTCTGGTCGATCGCCCGCTTCAAGCGGTCCAGTTGTTCACAGTAGTTGGTAGAATTAAGCGTCTGGCCATATGGGAGCAGCTCATAGTGGATGATTCCCTTCCAATCACACCAAACACACAGCAAAACCTTCTTGGCCGTCAATCTCGGCTTGGCCACTGTTTGGGACGATTCACCGGCCTTCGACCACGACGTTTTCGCTTGATATTGCCGTATGTGATCCATTTTTCGTCGCCAGTCACCATCCGCTTCAAGAATGGTTCGAGTTCGTTCCGTTTCAGCAGCATATCGCCGGCGTTGATTCGGTCCAGAAGGCTTTTTTGCGTCAAATTATGCGGCACCCAAACATCAACCTATTTTGTATCCAGCCTTCTGCAGATGGTTCAAAATGGTTTGATGACTAACTCCCATCTCCTGGGCGGTGTCACGAGATGTCATATGCCGGTCTAACTCGATGTATTCCATGATTTGATTGGTATTTGTCGTCACAGGTCTTCAGCCGGCTGGCTTATCCATGGTGTCGTTTTCACCAGCTCTGAATCGTCGAAACCATTCCTCCGCGGTTCGAAGTGATAGAGTACCATCCCCCAAAATACCATTAATCTCACGGAACGTTTCTCTAGCGGATTTGCCTTTAACGAAGGAAAACTTTAAAATAGCGCGAATTTCGGCGTTAGTAAATTCCATGTTTACACGTTGAATGAAAACGCTATCTTCCAAATTGAAGGAGCCATTTTTTCTAACAAACTTCTTGGCATACGCCTCTTTGCACTTTTTTCTTCATCTTCAATGAATCCCAGGTCTAAAATATGCCTACCCATTTTGGGTTTTTATTTTTTCTCAAACTAACAACACAAAATCAAACAGTAAATTTTTTGTTATCTCCTATGTCGCTGGCCATAAAATTTACAGGGTGACAGTGAACTCAGAAAACGAAATAGTAACAAAATTTGCTGAGTGGTAAGTAAATTTTGTTACCTCGTTAGAATAGGCCTGTTAACATATTAGTTTTGTTCGTTGACTCAATGAGCAGTACCAGTCAAAATTTGGTAACGCATTTTTGACGTTTAGTTGGAGAAAAAGTTGCAAATACGTGCAGGGAAAATTTGATCCAGTTAAAACTAACAAGCATGAAACACAGCTGATTTGCGATCATATGATTGAATTTTTGTCAACAAAGAAAAAATTGATTTAAAATTTAATAGTTTTAATTCTTTAATATGAATTATATGCCAACAAAATATATGGTTAAATGTAATGTTATTTTATTTAACTAAACAATATGAATGATTCCAACAATAGTTAAGGAGTGTCTTTAAAAGAAAATGTGTTGGCAGCGGAGTGGAATCATAGCCCGCACACCACCCAGCTTCCGTTGAGAAGTTGGAAGTTAGAAAGACATAGAATTAGAATATATTATTTTTTCTGGTACAACGATTGATTTTGGACTTCTGTGATTTACCAGAAAGCAGTGGCGACCAAAGGCGCGGCTTAACAAACTCGAAGCAAAGTTGTTACTACGACCATATGGAGGATAACGCATTCTTAAACCTCCGGAAGCGGCGACGATGCACAAAATTAAATATTAGTAGCTTTTAGAAGGAAAAATAAAGCACTACAGCATCGAATAAACTCCATAATAATACTGAGTTAATATGGCCGGCTTACACAGAAATAGAACTTCAAAGTTATTTTCCTATTTCAGTCATCCTTAATGAAATTCTAAGCGACAAAATGTTTCTAAGCAAGTTCTACATCAATCCTCGCCTTTTTAGAGAACTTTTTTTGAAAAAAGATATTAATATCTTAATCATTGGACGGCTATAAAGCATATAGAATTTCATCACTGTTGAAATAAAATAAATTTTGAATACAATTAATAACTTAATTAAATCACTTAGTAAAATACTTAGAACCAGAAATAAAAAAACAAAAACAACTTAAAAAAAAAAATGTTTATATATATAAAATAATTGGCGCTTTGTAACCGCTGAAGCGATTTTCAGTCGAGCTCCTCCTCCAATTTGTGGTTTTGCGTCTTGATGTTTTTTCAACAAATGGAGGGACCTACAGTTTATACTAAGCCGCCTCCGAACGGCTGATGTTTTTTTTACGAGGAGTCTTTATTTCATGTTCGAAATACACTCAGAGAGGTGGACATTCCCTGCCGAGGGGTGACAGCAATTAGAAAATTTAACTTAATTTTTTTTTTTTTAATTAATTTTCTATAACTTTTGGATGTTGGTTGCACGGGGCACGCAGTGCTGACCACTCGGCTACCGCGGCCGTTTACAACAATGAAATATTTATCATTTTATTGAATTATATTTTCCATCTTTTCGAAAAATTACAAATTTTCAGAATTTCATTACGAGATAGAACAGAGAGAGAGTCTGGCCAAATCTGTTTATTTAGCGTAATTATTTGTTTCTTCGTTCAATATCCATAGTTGACGACCGTAGAAGTTCGAATCAATAGTTTGGTTTCTGCTGGCGTATGCCGATGATGCTGATGTCATAAATCTTAACAATTGGGCTGCTAGTTCTACGCTCTTCAAGCTTGACCAAGAAGCGTTGCCAATGGGTCCGATAGTGCTTAGAAGTATCTCCTGTCATAAAACAAACAGTCGATGCATTTACGGCTTGGCTCCCACGTCATTGTTGACAAGTGCTGCTTTGGACTAAGTAGGCAATTGATTAGAAAAATCCACTCTCGACGGACAAAAACCAAATCTTACAAGTCATTCACCACACCCGTTGTTGTTGTTGGTTAGCGAACCGCTACTAACCCCGCTGAGGTACACCATTCCCGTCGTACTATATGCTGCAGAACATTGACGATGTCGACGTCCGATTAAGCGTACCTGGAGTTTTCGAGACAAAAACTTTGCGAAGGATTTTCAGTCCTTTGCGCATTGGCTACGACGAATACCGCAGACAATGAATCGATCAGCTCTGTACGAGTTATACGATGACATTGACAGCAAATGAAAAAAACAGCGGCTACGAATGCTCGAGGTTTGAAAGTATTGGATGAAGTACACGCCGGTGTAATCAAAACAAGAGGAAGGCCTTCTCTCCTGGTAAAGATTAGTTCGGGAGGGACCTGTGTTCACTCGGTACCTCCAACTGGCGCTAAACAGCAAAGAGAAAAACCGAATGGCGCGCTATTGTTGATTTGACTATAATCCCGTAAGCCCCCCACGCCAATGAAGAAGAGAAGAAGAGTATCTCCTCCCAAACCCACAATATGTCTTCTTCTTGGATATTCTTCTTTTGGTGGATATTGTCATTGGATATCCATTCTTGGAGCTCATTATGTTTGGACAAAGGTTGTCATATGCCGACTAGTTTCACTTAACGCTTTCATTTTAATGGATGCAAATGGGGGCACGGAAGGCGGTTCTGAAGAGCGAACATCAAAGAAAACAACAACTTATTTTAGTTACGATTCCTACCGTGCTGCTGCCCCTGGAAGGCATCTATTATTTATCGATTCTCCCATATTTAGCAAGTAATAATTGCTTTATCTAGTCCACTACTTTTATAAAACGAATTATATTCTTCTTTAAAATCAAACTGAGCTGCAGGAAGAGCAACACCCCAGAATGGTGTCCTGTCGCCACTCGTGTGGATACTCGTAGCAAAAGAACTTCTGAGAAAATTCGTAGTTTAAACACCATTTAAACGCCCATACGGACGGTCCAGCTAAAGTTGTTACGAGGAAATTCCTGGCCACCAGGAATGCTTTAGGAGCAGGGAAGCAATAAACAAGGCAGCCGACCTTAACAAGAACTTCTCTTAGATATCTCGGAGCTTTGCAATGCAAAGGACTATAGGCGGCTTCAAAATTGCAATTGAATGCCCTCTTGAACTTCAAAGGTGACGCTGACGCCTTATACAACAACTACTTTAGATCGCCGTGAGACGGACCTCCATCTGTTTCTCCTTCCATGTCGAAGTTTTTACAAACATACATAAAATAAAACAGATTAAAATTTGCACCGAGAGAGCGCATCTTTGACAACTTTCCAAGAATGATAGAGCCAAGAAAAAGGTTATAATCATTTAAACTGGGATGATTTGTGGATTTTGTTTGTGTAATCAAAGTTTTGAAAAGTCAAAAACGAAAGTCGTTCAATGTATTTTGTTTGTGTAAACGAACGTTCGTAATTCCAAACCTATTTCCCCTTGTATTTTGTTTGTGTAATTTTTTGAAATGGAAGGAAGAACAAGCAATCATATGACATGACAACTTCACCTACTGCACATTCGCCTTGCTTCGCGTTTAGAGAACTCAACACGCTGTTAAATAACACCCACCACTAAAATAATTTTGCTAACGAAACAGACAGTGATCCTCTGCTAAGGACCGGGAAATTGTATGCAATTAATTTCTCTCTGTTAATGTATTTCTTTGCTTTGAGCTTTTAACCATAGGAATTAATTGCTAAAAAGGAGTTTAGTTACACCTTTTTAATTTTTTTATTTGCTGCATTACTTAAAACATTAATTATTATTTTATTAATTATTGCAAAAAACCATATGCACATATATTAACAATTATTAAAACAAGTTTAATTTATTTTAAAAACACAAAACATAAAATAAAAGAAATTTAGAAAAAAGTATGTATTAATATTGGGTTGCCCAAAAAGTAATTGCGGATTTTTCATATAGTCGGCGTTGACAAATTTTTTCAACGGCTTGTGACTCTGTAATTGCATTTTTTCTTCAGTCAGTTATCAGCTGTTACTTTTAGCTTGCTTTAGAAAACAAGTGCGCGAAATTTTTATTTACATTTTTTTGTTTGGCGTCAATTTTAATACGGAACCCACAAAGGGGCATTATCGTCATATTTTACTTTATTATTTCCGTAAAGGAAAAAACGCGGAGCAGGTTGCTAAAAAGTTACGAGATGTGTATGGTGATGAAGCCTTAAAAGGAAGACAGTGTCAAAATTGGTTTCGCAAATTCCGTTCTGGAGATTTTTCACTTAAAGATGAGCCACGTTCAGGTCGGCCAAATGAAGTTGATGATGACCAAATCAAAGCATTAATCGAATTGGATCGTCATGTAACTGAGCGTGAGATAGGAGAGAAGTTAAATATACCAAAATCAACCGTTCATTATCACATAAAAAGTCTTGGACTGGTGAAAAAGCTTGATATTTGGGTACCACATGTATTGAAAGAAATTCATTTAACACACCGAATCAACGCTTGTGATATGCACCTTAAACGCAATGAATTCGATCCGTTTTTAAAACGAATCATAACTGGAGATGAAAAATGGATTGTTTACAACAACGTTAGTCGAAAACGATCATGGTCCAAGCATGGTGAACCAGCTCAAACCACTTCAAAGGCTGATATCCACCAAAAGAAGGTTATGCTGTCTGTTTGGTGGGATTGGAAGGGTGTCGTATATTTTGAGCTGCTTCCAAGGAACCAAACGATTAATTCGGATGTTTACTGTCAACAATTGGACAAATTGAATACAGCCATCAAGGAGAAGCGACCAGAATTGGTCAATCGTAAAGGTGTCATATTCCACCAGGACAACGCTAGACCGCACACATCTTTGGTCACTCGCCAAAAACTGAGTGAGCTTGGCTGGGAACTTTTGATGCATCCACCATATAGCCCTGACCTTGCACCATCAGACTACCATTTATTTCGATCTTTGCAGAACTCCTTAAATGGTAAAACTTTCGGCAATGATGAGGCTGTAAAATCGGACTTGGTTCAGTTGAAGATGGCAAAAGGTTATCGAACAAAATGGCAATTATATATTTGATTAAAGTTCACTCTAAGTTTTATTAAAAATGCATTTACTTTCTTTTAAAAAATCCGCAATTACTTTTTGGGCAACCCTATAAATATTAAAAAAATGATTTTATCCCTTCTTAGTTCATATTTCGTATTAATTCATACATATTTTTAATTAGCAAAATCACTACTAAGATATTGACCGCAACTGTATGTATGCATGTATATGTACATATGTATGTGTGTATGTCATAATACATAAGAAGTTCTTTTCAATATTCCTTAAATTTTGTAGATGCTATAGTCCGGCATCTAAATAGATACCAATTAAGACAAGGAATATTCCAAGTTATGAGTGACGCAATGGCTTGCGTCAATTGACTTTTGTCCAAACTGTGCAAGTTCAAATCCGTATATCGATTCATTTTCGCTTTTTTTTTTTGAAATTGGCAAATTAGCAATCGTCGCTTGTGGATTCGGGGTACAAGTGAAAAGAAGTTGGCATAATTTTGTGCATGTACATTTAATTGTGTTTGTAATTGACTTCATTCCAACTAGAATTTATTATTTTTGCAAATTTTGCTGTTGACGGAATGAAACTGCTTGTGAACGACGGGTATAGGGAACGAGAATAGGTAAACTTTTGCGCGTGTTATTATTATTATTAATTATTTATTTTTATTTTAAGTTCTCTGTCGTGGGTTAATTTTTAGTTGCGCAGAGAATCTTTAATTTGTTAATTATAATTTAATTTTTATTGTTATTATAAGTTCTCTGGTTGCGTATGAAAATCGTACAGGGTTCAGAACTAAGCTTATTGTGTCTCAACACCGGAGATTTTCTCAGTTTTACAGGCGTCATCTGTGCATCAATAGCAATAACACAAAGCATTATTTTGGTACACTCTTTGTAAGCTATTAGAAATCCTTTCTTAATCGATTTTAAGCTCGAGTAGTTGGCTAAAATACCTCACTGATATTATTATTATATTTGCAAAAATAGTTGTCAAATTAATATAATTTAATAACTGAATAAATAGCAGAAAAAGCAATTGTTGGCATACTAAGCACCCTGTGTCATGTTCTATTCAAGTTTTCCGATAGAAACAAAATTAATATTTTTATTAACATCGGATCGGTCAAAAAGTAAATTTATTGCAGCGTTGTCAAGGAAACAAGCAAAACAAGGAAAACAACATTTGACCAACACAAAACTTTACTCGACATTTAAATTTTCATCCGTATCGCTGTTATCGAAAGGGAATAAATTTTATGCTGACTAAATAACGAAATCGGTCTGGAATCGTTCCCCGGCTGCCGCGCTCTACAGTAAGTGCTAATAATAAAAAAACATAGTAGTTTAATTTGCCTTTAATAATAACCAATTGGTGTTAATTGCATTTATTGCAGTGCGGTACCACGCCTTGCAAAACAGCTTAGTCTCGTACAAGAGGACACACACAGACGCACAAAACGGCCTTAAATTAAGCCTTATATTAGTTGAAAATCAAACCATTAATGGATTGGAATAAAAGCTGATGCGAACATCTGGATACACGCATTAAGTAAATGGAAGAATTCTAAACAAGGTATGTTAATTCGGATAGCTGGACTCAAAATTTAGTGTAAAATAAATACTAGAAAATTAAACTTTATACGTAACAAGTCGAGCAGACATACCGACATTTTCTAATTAGATTTTAAATACATTTAGCCTTTTTAACAAGTGCATCAGGGGCGTATAATTATCCCCACACAGTGTAAATAATAACCAACAAATGTCTGTAACAATTGAAGTAACGAATTCTAAAATTCAAAATGATTTTTGTTTTATTTAAAAATAATAAAAATTAATGATGTAGATTTTATTGGACATGTATGTAGTTGTAGTTCAGTTACTTGCAGTGAAGCCGCTAAGCTTACTATGTGTACTGTTTATATCTGATCACTCTTATCAGTAAAATTGTAATTTATAGCGCATTTTTTTCTTTTAATTTTAAATATTTTTTTTCATTGATAAATAAATGTTTCAATGTATAGGAGTTCATTAGAGGTAAATAGTGTACTCGTTTGAATAAACTTAATTTAAATTCAAATCGAAATTCCGAAAGTTTTAAAAGTTTTAGTTTATACATATGTACCTAATTCAGTTTTTACTTTCGTTTCTTTTTTTAAACGAAATTGATTTAACGCTAGCAATTGTACCCTTTTTACTCGTTTTCATATTAATGAAACCCAAATATTAGCAGTTCTTTTTAACGCACTTACATTCATACATACATACACTTACATTTTCAATAGTAAGCACAAACAGTGTATACACAAATTTAAGCGCTTATACATATATATATGTACATGCGTTATGATTTCCTCTATCTTAAAGTATGATTTATATTTTGTAATATTTTTTTAATGTGATTGGCGCTTTGTAACGGTTACGCGATTTTCAGAAATGGGAGGAAGATTTTGATAGTGTGCGTCTTGATGGTTTTTTTTTATCAAAATGAGTATCCTGGAGTTCATTCTAAGCCACCTACGAACGGTTAATTGATTTTAAAGAGGAACCTTTATTTCATATCGGAAATAAACCCGAACTGACATTCCTTGCCGAGATGCAACCTCAATTGGAAAAATCAATCAAAATAAAGTTTTATGATTTCGGATGTTGGTCGGGTCGAACGTGAACCCTTGCCTTGAAGTATGATTGCTGTTGCCGTTGTAGCGACAAGTCTAATCCCACTTAGGAGCAAGCAAGATCAGTAAAAGTAAATCTAAAAAAACGTGCTGCTTCCACTGTTTCGGACCAGATGATGACAGATGTCGAGCTCTTCCTCTCCAATAGGTAGTGCTTTGACGCCGACTTCACTGGAAGCGAGTTCAAGAAGGTATTAACGGACTTAGCGGGTAAATAGCATTTAAAGCCTGTCGGTAAGACGTCCTGTCCAACAGTTCTTGTACGTAATGCTGAACGCATTCCTACCTTCCTTAGCTCGTAGTGATGCATCGCCGTTGAACTGCCTGGTGTTGCCGGTTGTCTAAGAAGAAGTTGAGTGATGATTGTTTGATTTCCAAAACTTTTCCCACTTAAATGTATAATTTAAGTTAGAATAAAAAGGTTTAAAATATGCAATATCAAAAATTAGGAAAGATGTTTTTGAAATATAATTTGGTATGATGGCCGTTGAGAGTAAATACTTAAGGTCTGTTTTGCTAAAAAAAAAACTAAACTAAAAAAATTAATTAATATTCTTATTTTCTAATATAGCATCAAACTTCAAAAAAAACTATTTGTTAACTAATTTAGTGGGCGGTTTCACCTCGTGGATATATTTTTTTATTTCCCGGGAACAATGCACACGGTGCAGTTTTTTGTGCCACGACAAAGTATATACTTAAACTGGCTTGCGCCATAAATGTAAATATTAGAGGACGGAATTGCGATCACGTGCAACATGACTAGAGAGCTATGGTCAAAATCGCCCACGAAACATCTAAGCATCTTATATTACCGCGCCGCTACTCCATTTTCATATCGGCAGTTGAAATAACAAGTCTCTGCTCAATAGGTCTCCGCAGAGAAAGAATTGGCTATCACTTTAATGATTTTTACCTTAGCTGCAGGACGAAGAAGACGAAGACTATACCCCCTGCGGGTTAGGGACTCAAGAATTTACCCGCGGTAAGGCATGCCTATCGTAAGAGGCGACTAAAATTCAATAGTTCCCGCGACAGTCGGGTCTTTATACCGGAACGACCCGGAATTTTATCCGGCCAGGGACTGTCACTCCCGCAACATTCCCAAAAAGGACTTTGGGGAATAATTTTGCGGTTACAACAACAACAACAACGAAGAGTCTATTGGCCTAAAAGGGGTTAAGCTCCTACCCACCCAGACTCGACTCCGACATACCATCCAGCATGTAACGATTCCCCGCACGACACTAACCACCTCTGTGCATGCCGTCTAAGATCGACACATTTAATCTTACTATTCTTTTGAGCCGAACAGGTCGTAACAGCTCGTTTCCAGGACCTCCCGTCAGATGAACTCGATGACTAATACTATCTAGCCTGTCCCTAAGCGGAGTTGGAAAAGCCGCTACAACAACAGGAAGAGTCTATTGAGTCTCCCTGATTATGCTTCAGCAAAAATTGATAAACTGGTTGCTTTTATATGACACACGAAATGGTTGAAACGTTTGAGACGGTGAAGAACGGACGTTTTTTTTCTAATTTGGAAATTTTCACATTTACAATTATAAATTCAAAATAATCATTATATAACATATTGCATACAGATAAATCTACTAAAGGGACATTTGGACCAATCTCTTGGTAACAACATAAGTAACTAAACGAAATAATAAAACTGTTGTATGAAGTTATCGTTATCGTTCAGAATCTGTCTGACATGTGTGTCAATGCATGATGAGTCGGCTTTGAGAGTCCGCGAGAGAAAAGTTTTGCCAATGTTTTATGGTCCCTTGCGCATTGGCAACGGCGAATACCGCAGATAGAATGATGAGCTGTATGAGTTCTACGATGATATTGATATAGTGTAGAGAATGAAGAGATAGCGGCTACGCTGGCACTCCAGCTTTGAAAGTACTCGATGCAGTATCCGCTGGTGGAAACAGAGGAAGAGGAAGACCTGTTCAAAGAAATAAAATTACCTGGTTGTTGTTGTTGTTGTGGTTGTTGTTGTTATAACGCAAAAATATTCCCCAAAGTACTTTTTGGGAAATATGGCGGGAGTGACAGTCCTTGGCCGAATAAAAATCCGGGTCGTTCCGGTATAAAGACCCGACTGTCGTGGGAACAATTGGATTTTAGTCGCCTCTTACGACAGGCATGCTTTACTTGGTGACTCCAACTGGCGCTAAATAGCGTAAAGGAAAAATAAATGGCGCTCTAAGTTGCTTGGCTATAATCGCGTAAGCGATGCCAACGCCAATAAACAAATAAATAAAAAAATTGTTTGGTTCATTGATGATGTCTTAATTTTCATTCCAAACACAACATGCTGCATTTAAGTAAGAAAAGATTTATATTCAATTTTAATTTCAATATCAGCGGGTATCATAACAAAACTTCTTTGTACGTTGATGCACACACTTCAAGAAGATACATAATTTGTTTGATAAGCTCTTTTTATCGTTGCCTAAAGTAATTATAACTTTTCTGCTATCTCAAAAGAATCAAATCAAAACAACTCAACAAACTCAATGGTTTTTTAGTGAGTACGCGAAATATGAAAATTCTTTTAGAATATATATTTTTGGATTTCAACTTTTCTCAATTAGCAAAGTTCCACTTTGTGTGGGCAATAAATGTGCGACATAATTTTCTACATACACAAGCATAAAAAAAAAATAACTAATTATAAAAATTCCGTACAAACCAAAAAAAAAAAAATTTACCTGAAGAATTTTCCACGCTTTGAGAAAAGTTGGAAAATCATTTTGTGGCGTTTCGTTTTTGGAACTTTATTTCGCTTGCATTACATGTAAGGCTAGAGACGTACTGTGAGAGGACATTTAATAGACGTGCGTGCGTGCGCCTTACAGCATGCACCATTGAACACAATGCGCTGGTGTCATGGCCGCTGCGAGGGTGTTTTACCGGTGTTGTACCAGGTGTAAGAACACAGTTACGCTGCGGGTTAAATACCTTTCTTTCTTTTCGATTTGCGCTTCGTTGATTCACACATTTTAGACAAGGTATCAACGTACGCCACACTGCTTGCTGTCCAGAGTCATAAGTGTCACTGTTGTGTACTCATGAATGAGTAGTGTACATATCATAAATATGTAATACGTTTGCAACATATTTTCGTACTTACATCCATCTGTACATGGAAAAATACATCGATGCTTAGTCGCAAATAAAGCGCGTAAACGAAAATACATATTTATACATCGCATTACAATGGTTATTTTGCTATTGACAAATACATCTTTGGAATATTTACTTTATGTCGATTTAGGGATTACAGCTCGATATGCACAACTCATAAGTTTGTGAAATATTTATTAAAAATCTCAGATCAATATAAATTATTACAAATATATTATTGGTCTAGTAAAAAGTTCATTCGGTTTTTATCTAAGAGATGGCGTTATTGTCCATAGTATTTAGTGTTACGAGTCGCATCATGCCATATTATACGGCGCTGAAAACGTGTTTATTCGCGCTAAAAGTTTGTCTTTGGCAGTTTTTCGATTGATTGACTCAGTACGTTGTGAGCGCTCGTCAAAGATGGACACCAGCAAAGAGAAAATTCGTTATATTTTACAATTTTTCTTCGATCATGGCGAAACTGAAAATGAACGTGTAGCGCAAAAGGGTTTGCTAGGTTCCGTTCCGGTAATTTCTATGTCAAAAATGCACCACGCGTCGGGAGGCCTGTCATCGAAAATTGCGATAAAATAATGGAAATAGTGGATACAGACCGTCACGTGAACACTTATTTAATTACTGAAGAACTAAAGATAAGCCAGAAAATCGTTTGGAACCATTTGCATAACCTTGGATTCAAAAAATAGCTCGATAGTGGGGTGCCACACGAACTAACGAAAAAAAAACATGA